AAGCAAATTTTCGCACGATGCAGATGCTGACACTGCTCACAACGCCATCTTCGCTATGGGATTGGTAGGATTTTATCTGTTATTTCTAATGTTTTGTATTTCTTATCTTTTTATGTATGACTATTTTTCTCACTCATGGTATCTCCTTCGAAAACAGTTTTCTTCCTTCAATTTTCTCTGTCTAGGTTGGCGCCGGCACGAATAATGCTCGTCTAGTTGCAATGTTACGATCGTTGGCAAGCTATCATCATAAAGATCAGGTGAGTGATATTTGTGTATTTTCAGTTTCTAAAAGCTGAAGTTATATATTAGGTTTCACTGATGTTGGTACGACTTTCGCAAGGTCTTACCCATTTGGGTAAAGGTACGATGACTCTGAATCCTTGGCACTCTGATCGGCAATTATTGTGCCCAAGTGCTATTGCTGCATTACTCACCATATGCTTTGCATTCTTGGATGCCAATAATTCAGTAAGTGCTACAAGAATTTTTGTACCTTCTTATCTGCTTTGAATTTTGCCTTTTCTGCTTTGAATTTTGCCATTTGAGGTATTGAATAATCGACAGCATTACCTGCTTTACTCACTCGTACTAGCCATGCAACCTCGAATGTTGGTTACGTTATGTGAAGATGATAAGAAGCCAGGACAGTTGAAGCAGGTACGGCTCAGAGTGCTTAGTGTCAAATCTTAGTTTTTCGTTTTTTTTCTTTGATATATTTTATTGACAAGCTATCTACAAAGACACCAAAACTCCTTTTTTTCATAATTTAGGTTGGCGTGACCGTGCGTGTCGGCCAAGCGGTAGATGTTGTGGCTCAAGCGGGTAAACCGAAAACAATCACCGGTTTCCAAACACACACTACTCCTGTTTTATTAGCTTACGGTGAACGAGCGGAGCTAGCGAATGAAGAATGTAGGTTGCTTGAACTGATTATCTCTTTTGATGAAGCCAGCCCTATTGTCAATTTGCAGATATCTCTATGACTCCCTACCTAGAAGGTTTGGTGATATTGAAGAAGAATCCCGACTATGATGTACCGGTAGCCGCTAAGAAGTAGATATCTGTGGATCTGGTGTATTCTGATCTGTGCTGTGTATATTTATTGTGACTAGTGATGTAGTCACAAGACTTTTCATTAAGGCAGTGCTATTTATTTTTCTGGTCCGTAAATGATGTTCCCTAATAATTATTGAATCTTCAGTTGTAGGATGCTCACTTCCTTATTTAACCTCCTGTACGGTTTC